AAGTGGCCGTTTCGTTTGGACGATTTTTAATATGGAGCTTCACGTTAATAATAGGTTTGGAAAAATCCTGCTAATTACAAAAAAAAAAAAAAATGCATTAGAATTTAAAAAAAAGAAGGTCAATACAAGTGTTGTGGATTCCGTGAATAGAATCCTGCACAAATAAATAAACAACGCCAGTAATTGACATAGAAAAATCAGTGGATTAAACGTAAGAATACAGACTTGAAGTGAAGATTAGTAGTCCAGGAATGCGGGTTAGTAGAAAGTATATGTACAAGTCTCTGAAAGTAAAGCCGTAATCATCTCTCTCTCTATGGACTCTTGTATAACTCTCTGAGAACACCCTGTGTCTGTCTCCGTATCTCTCAACCTGTCTCTACGTATCTCAACGTATCTCCACGTATATCAACGTATCTCGATATTTAACAGTCCACCCACGAGGAATGTATGTGTGACAATGCCGAGTTTAACGTAGGTTTCTCCGGTCCCGTAGGCTGAGCCAAAAAATATCCCCTTTGAATCAGCATAAGCGGGTTCGGGAACTGTCTACGTCCCCGGACGAAACTTTGCCCTTCGGCAAAGCGTCGTCCGGGTTCCTCTCTGCCAAAGCAGAGAGTTCGATAGACGTCGCACACAGTCAGAGACTGTATCTCAACGTATCTCGATATTTAACATTCCACCCACAAGGAATATATGTGGCACAAGGCCGAGTTTAACGTGGGTTTCTCCGAGCCCGTAGGCTCGGCCTAATATATACCCTTTGAACCCGCCTAGACGAGTTCAGGGCCTGTCTACCTCATCGCACGAAACCTTGCCCTTTGGCAAGGCCTCGTCCGGGTTCCTCTGTGCCAAATCAGAGAGTTCGGCAGACGTCGAGACTGTATCTCGACGGATCTCAGAATTTATCGATCCCCCCCACGAGGATTGAATGTGGCAGAAGGCCGAGTTTAATGTGGGTTGCTCCGAGCCCGTAGGCTCGGCCAAAAATATAGCCCTTGAACCTGCCTAGACGGGTTCAGGCCCTGTCTACATCCCCGGACGAAACCTTGCCCTTCGGCAAAGCTTCGTCCTGGTTCCTCTCTGCTAACGCAGAGAGTTCGACAGACGTCGCTTACAGTCAAAGACTGTATCTCGGCGTATCTCAACAGCAGGTATTCTCTCTGTCAGTATAAGTATACTTTGGACGAGTCCATCTTATGTAAAAAGGGGAGAGCCCCACAACAGCAAATCGAATATATGCCTCAATTTTGTCAATGATCCCGTCATTATCTTTCATTTTGTCATCTTAATCAATACGCTAACCTCGGCACACCATTGAAAAGCGGACATATTGCTGAACGTTACCGAGGTACAATCATCCTCAGTGACGAATAGAAGGTTCGGCATAATCGTCTTCAACGAAAGCTAATGTCGTGTCCACTAAAATATCAAATACAATATTTATAAACCAATCACACTCAAGAAAACACTTACATCTTAAAACACACCAATAAAATCATAGAATACAAATCAGAATGTTTGTTGTATTAGTCATCATTATTTTTAGGTAGATACTGAGTAAATATCGTGCTTATTTAGTAGAAGATATAACACGTGGCTTTTTAAGGCTAATTAGGAATAAATAAATAATTTAATTCTGGAGACGATTTTGTTACGAAAAAGTGTATAAAAATATACTTTTCCAAGCAGGATATACGCGGCTGTCACCAAACTCCACACAACTCTCGCTTATGATCTTCCTGATCTCATGCTAAAAGCGACTGCGTTGACAAACTTCAGACAATGGCAACACCGGAAACAATTTCTCACTATCTCTTGTAAATTTTTTACTATGAATCACGCACACACATGTTGACTTTTTCATACAAACACACATATAACAACATTTTATTGTTTCTCACATACGTACACAAAGGCAGTTTATATTTTATTTCAGAACTTTATTAAGCCAAACAAAAAGACATTTCTTTCCAATTTATCACCAACTGCTTTTATTCTTGTTATATTAAATTAATATTTATTGAAACTACGTTTTCTTTTCTACTGAATTTTATTCCTTATATGAAAATCGAGTGATTACCCTAGACGGCCAAATTACGAGTGACCCTGTAACGATATTTTGTTATTGTATCGAATCCCGACAGTTCGAATTTTAACATTCAACGAAAAACTGAGTAGCAGAATTCCTACACTATAATAATCAGCACCTGTTGAAAAAGAAATCCCCGCTTTACTAAGGGAAGCAACGACTTTGTGTAAATTTGAATTTGACTCGAAGATTTGGGGCGATTTTGGGCGGGAAAAGTACCTGGCCAAAAATTGCTACGCTGCCCGCCCCAATATTAACAAGCTTAGTTATATTTTCAAAAGGTTTCGGCGAATGTCCAATGTTTTCTGCTTGACTGTATCCTTCGCCATTGTTGAAATTATATTATGAATGAACAAAAAACAAAACAAAAAAATCTATCAACAAGAAACTAAACCATAATGGGTTTCTTCCATAATTCTCCTTTACTTTTCATATTTTTTTCTTATTTTTTAAAAAAATATAATCATTTCCGTTGTTCTTCTTCCATTTAAAATAAAAGTCCGAGAACAAAGAGTTTGAAATTTGTAGACACTAATGATCGGGACTTCCTTCCCAAATATTTTGAAGCGCATGTCTGATATATTCGCTTTGATGTTGAACAATATTCGATGGCGCAATTTGATGTCTTATTCTGAAGATAGAAGCACACGTTGCCGAAAGACGCAGACAGAGAGAGAAAAAAAAAACAGCTTGAGCAACGAGATGAAATTCATTAACGCAAACACATTCAACAAAAGAGTATCCAGTCATATATATTCTGTCAGGTAGATACTCGTCTGTTTTAATATTTATTATTGATATCTATCTATCTATCTATCTATCTATCTATCTATCTATCTATCTATCTATCTATAACAGTCACTTCATTATCTATCTATTTATCTATCAAACACTCTTTATCTATCAGTCTGTTACAGTTAATTAATAATCTATCGATCCCAATCATTATCTATCTATCTATCTATCTATCTATCTATCTATCTATCTATCTATCTATCTATATACTGATATCTAGCCGTATCAGTATCAATTGCAATTAAAATGAACCCACATATATATATATATAATAGATGTTGTTCTTGTTTTTTTTCTCTTAAAAACCAATAACTCATTTTCAATAGCATTTCGGATACAATAACATATATATTTTCGATGTCCTCTTATTACTAAAAGAAAAAAAACAAAAACAAGAACAACATCTATTATATACCTGAAGATGTCTGTAGGAACAGACGAAAGCTTGTAGTAAAAATAACAACTAATACGGCAGAAATTTATATAAACAAGGATCAATTCATGATGGATGTCTCGCCATTTAAATCATTAACCTTTGCATTAGTTTTGTGTGAATAATTCATGTATTTGTAAATTGATTGCACGTTTATTGTAATTTAAATAACTGATCCATGTGCGACTTTTAGATAATAAGTGCGACATTACTGTAATTATTGAACAATATAGTTCATGCCACTTTAACAGTAAAATTTACCAGTAAAAATTTGTTCAACACCATATTTGGTATAAACGCAAACATTTTAAAAATTTAAAATCAAACTCAGCGTTGTTTGGCGCGTTCAAAAACCAATAACTCATTTTCAATAGCATTTCGGATACAATAACACATATATTTTCGATGTCCTCTTATTACTAAGAGAAAAAAAAAACAACAAAACAAGAACAACATTTATTATAATCATGTATTTGAAGATGTCTGTTTATTGGAAAAGACGAAAGACTTTTAGATAAAAATAACAATTAAGTTCATGCCACTTACGGCAGAAAATTTATATAAACATTTTAAAAAAAAAGGATCAATTCATTCAAAACCAATAACTCGGATCTGGACAATTTTTGTGTACTATTTGAATTGTTTGTAAAAATAATGGATGTCTCGAAATTTTTAAAAATTAACAATTCATTTAACGGATTAGTTTTGTGTGAATAATTCATGTGGATTTGCCATTTAAAAATTGATTGCACGTTTATTGTGAATATATATATATATAAATTGATTATATATATATATATATATATATATATATATATATATATATATATATATATATATATATATATATGAGAAACCAATAAACAAAAACATTCTGGTTTCGGCTCATTGAATCTGATGCGGAAATTTAATTTATTGACCCTCTTATCTTAAATAAAAACTAACGCATTTTCCTTAAATACAGTTTTCTCATTCATTCCAATCTGAAGAAGCCGAACTCAACATCTATCGTCGAAACGCGTTGATTATATAAACATTTTCACTTTGGCTCACCATTTTCAATTTTGTTTTGAATACTATTATTGACCCTACACACACACTCACACACACACACACATATATATATATGTTTCATTAAATAATATAGACAAGTTTTGTATATTTATTTTATGGAAATTTCTTTCATATCATCTGATAAGCTTAATAACATTATCATTAAAAGAAGACAGAAAAGCACTATATTGATACATGTTTTTTTAATCCCATCTAAGCTTTCGGTTTGCATAAGTCATCATCAAAGATAACAAGAACATTACAATATATTAACCAATACACGGGCATAGCAATAATGATAGTCTGTTTTTGTTTACATGGAAGATTTCCAAGCAAAGACAAACTCGTGCATACGAGAAGCTTGAAGCGAAAATCGCACCGCGGCTCATGACATCACACATGATCACGCGAGAGTGAAAACGAGAAGTGTTAATTATGGGAACCAATTATAGGCATTTAAGTATATTTGTTGAGTTTTCCTAGTTTATTTTGTTCAGGTTAGGTTTCAACTGTTTTATGTTTATATAGTCATTCAAAAAATAAAATTTATTTTTTTGTTTATTATCTTTATCTATGTTTCTTCTGAATCTATAGTTGTGTCATTCAAGAGAGACTGCAGTCATTAAAATGTCGTGGAAATTTCTATCTATCTATCTATCTATCTATCTATCACTATGCTTCTATCTAATCTATCTATCTATCTCTGTCGCAGCATCTATCTATCTATCTATCTATCTATCTATCTCTATTGGTATCTATCTGCTATCTGTCTGTCTATCTATCTGTCTGCATCAGTCTATCTATCTATCTATCTATCTATCTATCTATCTATTCCTCTTCGTATCTATCTATCTATCTATCTATCACTGACTCTTCGTATCCCTATCTATCTATCTATCTATCTATCTATCTATCTACTTAGGTTTAGTTTGAACGAGAGTCTAAATGTTAGACATAGGTTTGGATTGCATGATTATAAATAAAAGTAGACAATGTTATTTTACCAGAGTATAAAAACGGTAGACGTATTGTTCGAGATCCTGTGTGGGAAATGGCAGGCATTAATATATTAAACAACCGGTCTCCATTTTTGGAAGTTGTCATTCCTTTGCACCAGGTGCAGTCGGATTATTCTTGAACCTTAGTGATAGAGCCATCAAGGTTTTTCATGGAAGGATTTGAAAAAGACAGTGTCCACCATTGGATTCTAGATGTCTCCTCCTGCTGATACTGATGATGATGCTTATGATATTTCTTTGGGCGCATGCGCGTGAGTGTGTGGCGATACGTTCTTCAATGGTCATCTTTACAGGAATCTGTCGCTTACTGGAACAAGTAAGACGCCGGAGGAAAACTCATTTTTAAAGATACGAACGCCAGGAACTGTTTGATGGTCTATAATTGGCCATCCGCCCGTCAGCAAGTAAAAAGAAAAAGACAGCAGAGAGATAGAGAGAGGGGGGACAAGGGAAGAAAGATAGAAACGAAGAAAGGAAGAAAGAAAAATGAAAGAAAGGGAACGAGAGGAGAAATGAAGCAAAAATCGAAAGTAGAGAGAAAACGTAAAGTAAAGCAAACTTGGACAGTGGCAGGGAAAAATACCGGAAACGGAAGTAATCAGTTGACCGGAAGCACACAGAAATCTCGGGTTTAATTCGGGCTGGTGCCTATAATTTTCTTTTAACTCATCTCTGCTTTTGTCTGTCTTCCAATTCATTTTCGTCCTAGTTTGTTTGCCGTTATTGTCTCCGTCGTCAAATTCGTCTGGGTCGTATTCTTTTTATTTCTTTAAACTTCTTCGCATTCACTTCAATTATTACGCCATATTACTTTAGTTGTTTAGTCTTTGTTAATCAGGTGATTTCATTCTAAAATCAAGAAAGTTCAGGTAGTCGATGAGTTTCGACATTTTTTATGACATGCGAACGGGTAAACAGCGTAAGACAGTAAAATGAAGTGTAAACGAATGAAAATTGGCAAATAATTTAATTTTTATTCCAAGTTACTTTTTGAGGCTTTAGTTTAAAACTAAGTCAGAATGAAATATCGAATATAATCGAATATATTGCTGGAAGTACAGAAATAAAATTACCGACTGTAATGCAGTTATCTATTAGTCTATTACAATCTTTTAATATCTATCTATCTATCTATCTATCTATCTATCTATCTATCTATTTCGGTTTGTTCATATATATGTATCTGTCTAGCTACCTAGCTAGCATAGTCTGTTCATATCTATCTATCTATCCTACTCCGTTCATATCTATCTATCTATCTATCTATCTATTTCGGTTTGTTCATATATATGTATCTGTCTAGCTAGCTAGCTAGCTAGCATAGTCTGTTCATATCTATCTATCCTATCCGTTCATATTCATATCTATCTATCTATCTATTTCGGTTTGTTCATATCTATCTATCTATCTATCTATCTATTCTATCTATCTATCTATCTATATCTATCTATATCTATATATATATATATATATATATATATATATATATATATATATTTTAACCTAGTGAATGTTACTGATTAAAATAATCAAACGAAGCTTCGTAATGAACGATAATACTTCGGACAAGAACAATACATATAAGATTCGCCAGCGGCGCGTATAAGTAGTCAACTGCTAGTAGTGAGTCAACCTCTTATCTAGTCTAAAAGATTCTGGGAGGAATCTAGTCTGAGAGAAAGAAACCTTTCAATTTAAATTTAGGGTGCCTCTTCGGACATTTCATGGCACTGATCTCTGTTATCCGTTCTTCGGAATAGTTGTCCAGCTCTGTAGAAGGCTTCTCTATAATACTCAAATTATTTGTGTTGCTAGTCTATCGTTTCAGAATTTGACAGGAATATATATATATATATATATATATATATAATTTGACAAAATATATATATATATATATATATATATATGAAGAAAATATCCATTTATATTTGCTTATATATATATATATATATATATATTGTGTGTGTGTGTGTGTATTGATAATATTAGTACTCAGTATATATATATATATATATATATATATATATATATATATATATATAAATTCCCAAGAGAATAAAATCCAGGTAGAACTCAATGTCCAGGAAATGTAAGAATATAATATAATATGAAAGGTTCAAACACTAATATTCCATAGTTAAATTATAATCATGGAATATTAATGTTTGACCTTTTTATATATATATATATATATATATATATATATATATATAAGTAATGAAAATCATGGTAATTCGTATGGATAATCCCAAGGAGAATGAAATCGAGAGAGCTCAATGCTAAACCAGAGCGCTTAATTGAATGAAAACAGACAACTTTAAGGGCCCAGTGGTTATAATTTATTTCCCCAGGGATTTTTTCTTTGACTTATCACACCACAATTCCACGGGTGAATATATATATATATATATATATATATATATATATATATATATATATATATATAGTTTTATAACAACAAAAGGTGCTTATGTTGTAACCACATTCGATACTGGATACTTCATAGCGTAAAGCACCCATTCTACCCAACACTGTTTCCCTATCTACATAGCTAGGTGTGGCATATTTCCACCCTACAGTTGACGGACCAAAACACATTCGGAAATCCGAAACTATGAAATCCACTTATTTTCACAAATAGTTTTCAACTTATTTTCACAAATAATTAATGAATTTAATTTCCCACAAATGTCAGAAAATGATATTTTGTCGTCATTGATTAAATATACTTATTTAATCAATGAAGACCAAAAGACACACACACGGCTCTTAAATTATAAAAGAAAAAGATTTCCACACTCTGTTACAAAAATGAAAAAAAAAAAAAAAAAACAATCATGTTTTAGTTAATTACAATTATCAAAATAATTCTAAGCTTAAAACATTTGACTGCAAGCAACACCATAGTAAAAAAACCTCATTAACAGTATACAGAAATCACAGTGGGAATGTCCCATCACAAAATGCCATCAGTCATTGCGTTCATCAACGGGTATTAAAAACTCCATGTTGTACATCATCGAACTTCTTCAAATGTTAACAGGAAAATATATTTACTGGTCAAATTTCCTTTTCCAGAAAATTTTCTTTTAAAAGCGACACTTTTCGCGTTCAGATTTTTCCACATATAGAATTAAAAAAATAGACTGCCAGACAGTATTTAAGCGTGCCAATCAGATTCATCATAAGATTTTCGCCCATAGTTATTGTCATGGGTCCTTACCTATAACTACAAAATGAACTCTTCCTAACACTATGTATACTACGCCTCTCAAAAGACGGTCGAACTCTCTGCTTTTGACCAGAAAGGAACCCGGACGAGGTTCCGCCGAAGGGCAGAATCTCGTTCGGGGAAAATGACCAACCCGATCTCGTTTATACGGGTTATACGGGCATTTTTTGGCTGAGCCTACGGGCTCGGAAAACCCACGTTAAACTCGGCCTTGTACCACAACTTTCGCTCGTGGTGGGGCAAGGAAATATCGAATCGAGTCGAGCTGATAGAAGATCACTCCAAACCAGACTGACAGTCATACTAACACCTTCCACATCTTGTATTATTATTTCGTGTAATATACCTTCGTTATTTCTACTCTTGTGTTCGTGTTGTTCTTCCTTGGTCCTAACCTAGACCATAACCGTTATAAATCTTTGTAAAAATCAAAATGAATAAAAATAATCTTCCCCCCACAAAAAAAAAACCAGCAAAAATCACTAAAATGTTTCATCAAAATTGTCATTGTCGCACTAGTGTATATGCATGAGTGTAGGTGTTCACTGTGTTTCATTTTTCTTTTCCCGACTAGTCTTTTCTTTGTTCATTGTTTGTCCATCAAACCCTGTTCTTTTACTGTTTATTTTTTAAAATTTTATTCTCATTTCATTCATCATTACATCCTATTTTGGTTTGTTGCTTAGATGTGCGTGTGTATGCATGTGTGTGCGTGTGTGAGCCTTACAACATAGTACTTACAGATTCTCTTTTTTTCTCTCCTTGTGTCTAGATTCCATTTTTCTTTTTTCATATTCTTTTTTTTTTTGAGTCAGGTCCTGGTCGATGGCCGCAAATAATTATAAGTTGTATATCCTCCTCACGCTGGGAGGTCTTGAGCAACGGATACAATTTACTTATAATGGTGCATCTTCTCTCTCGCGCGCGGTTGGAGATCGCTCGATAATAAAGTTCTTCTTTCAATCGTCTTCTCCCGGTCGCTGATCGTTAGTTGTTTTCGTTCGGAGATAAAAGAACTTCGACACAAAGAATTTTAACTTAGCTCGTTTATTAACGTCGGCGGATACATCTCTAACTATCCAGTGGGGTTGATCTCCCTCTACTGGGGAGCCGTTTCCAGACACGAAAGTAACAGGCCTACATTGTTTACAGTTTTTTTTTTTTTTACTTTTTTCTTATTTTCTATTTTGCTTTTAACTCTGTGTATGTGCGTGCGTGCGTGCGTGTGTGTGTGTGTGAGAGAGAGAGAGAGAGAGAGACAGCGATAGAACATAGTACTTACATCAAAGGGAATTTTAACTTACCTTGTTTATTAACTAACTTGACGGTTAAGTATTGGCTGAATAACACTTCAGGGGAGGTAACTAAGGTATGAGGTGTTGATAGTTTTTTTTTTTAACTATTGGCACAAACCTTGATATTTTAAACTATCTGCTATGGACATTTTAAAACAGTTGTGCCGTATTCATGATTAATTTTATTAAGGTTTGGTTTAATTATTTTAAATATATATATATAACTTCAATAATTATTTGTTTATGTTTATTATTTTCATGAAAAAGTATAGATGTATTTTCAACAAGAATTTAACTGAATTGCAAATGTGAACAAGTATGCTGTTGTAAATGCTTAGATATGTTGGTTGCAACGTGGTATAGCCCAACATAACATATATATATATATATATATATATACACAAACACACACATATATATATATATATATATATATATATATATATACACACACACATATATATATATATATATATATATATATATATATATATATATATATATATATATAATAGATAGGAAAAGACAAAATTTATAAGGCATTTTTTTTATAAAAGAAATATCTAAAAAAAAAAAAAAAATCAACCGGTTTCGTCCCAGAAGTCATCAAGTTTATTTTTCTGGGAACAGAAAATTTATAAAAGCGTGTAAGTTACAATGGATTCGAGAATGAAACAACATTTGAAGGATTTTGAATCCGGCTGCCAGGAAGAGCCACCTAACCAATAGTTCTGGCTCTGCTATTGCTGAGCATATAATAAATAGTAGGAAATGTGTGGTTAATTTTAGTTCGGACCGTTTTTTGATTTTATCTAGGTCCAATTCCACATTTCACTTCAAGGTTCTAGAGTCCTTGTATATCAGATCCCGTGAGACCTTTCCTTTGTAAACAGAGGGAATGCTTACTGGGTTTGAATATTATTGGACTCTATCTTTTTTGAAATTCTTTTTTTTCTTCTTCCATTCCATTCGTTAATTTAATTTAAAAGCTTTTATTTATTTTTTATTCGCAGAAAAATAAACTTGATAAGTCCTGGGACGAAACCGGGTTTTTTTTTTTTTTAGCTATTTCTTTTTATAAAAATAAAAATTTTGCTTTTTTATAGCTATTATTAAATTCTGTACCACAAAAAACTTATATATATATATATATATATATATATATATATATATATATATATATATATATATGAGAAAAAATATACGGAAAAACAAACAAAAATCCTATTATGCAATTATGCAGTTTTAATGTTAATATAATGTCAAACGTTTCGTCTAATAGACCATCTTCAGGACATATTCATAAAACATAATTAAGATTAGACAATTAAATATTCAATTCAACATGAAAAAGACGATGGACATAAGAGCAAGAATAATCAAAACAGATAACTGAAATTTTTCCGTATATTTTTTCTTCATACTGTCGGATCTATATCCATATATATATATATATATATATATATATATATATATATATATATATATATATATATAGGTCGAGGCAAAAGTAGCGCGTCATAGGGGTTCATGTTTCTGTTGAGGGCCACCGAAATCATCCTTGGATTTTTTCATGCGGGCCCATTTGAAATCACTTGTCTATTGGGTACATCTAAGAAATATTGAAAAACTTAAAGAAGGAATTAAATATGAATGCCGTAAAATGACAAGAAACTGTCAGTCGCGTTAATGAACCACGCAGGGAGAGAATTTAAGTGTATTTTGACAAAGAAGGGGGACATTTTGAACAGCAAATATAACAATTAAATAACAAGTAAATAAAATGTTCATGGGTAATTATACTTTTAAGAAATTATCCCTATATTCTGCGACTTTTGCCTCATTCTGCATATATGTATGGGTTTGTGCGTATGGTGAGGTAGGAAGAATTAATCCAAATAAGAATTATTAAATTCAGTAGCATTTCTCATCTTCCTCTCTCTTTTCTCCTCTGTCTATCTTTTTGATTGACTTGCCATTGTCGAAACGTATTTAAATCGTAAGAAAACAAAATGCATTTATCAACATAAAAAATATACAACATTCCCATCAAAGAAATTAACCAAATTCGAGACGCCGTTATTATCCAAAAGAAAACAACTTACATGGAATAAAATATCTTTCTCCACAGAAGAGGTTATTTTCAACTGACAACAATACATATAAAATATAAAGACTCAATACACGCTCTTTCTACCTAAGCTGTACAAATGAGAATGCGACTGTCTTATTCAGCCGCAGTGCTCTTAACAATGCCAGAATGTATCCCACTTCTCTACAATGTGGTTTTGAGAATCTCAGAGACGATCCAGAGATACTTTAACAAAGTACAGAAAATCAGGACTTCGGACAGAATATCCAATGTAATGATACTGAATTACATATTTGAAAAACTAATTAATAAAATGCATTAAATGCATTATGCGTCTAAGTTCATAAAACCTTAACTCCCTCTTTCGAACTGAGTCAGAACGTTTTTGTATGCATATATCTCCGTCACCAGGGTTCCTGCTATCATCTCTAAGCATGCGGACTTGCTGGCTTCCAAGCAATTGTCTAGGAATTTTGCCCATGAACTGAACTGGCTCTCTCAATGCCCTGGTTCCTGAACTGGCAGTCAAACTGAACTGGTTCCTGAACTGTATCTATAACTGAACTGGCTCCCGAACTGGCTACTGAAATGGCCCTCTAACTGCACTGGCCCCTAAACGGGTTCTCTAACTGAACGGGCTCCCGAAATGGGGACTGAAATTACTCTCTAACTGCAATGTCTCCTGAACTGGATCTCTAACTAAACTGGCTCTCTAACTGCACTGGATTCTGAATAGGCACTCAAACTGAACTGGCTCTTGAAATGCCTCTTTAACTGAACTGCCTCTTTAACTGAACTGGCTCGTTAACTGGGACTCTAAATGAACTGGCCCCCGAACTGGATACTGAAATGACTCTCTAACTGCATTGGCACCTGAACGGGCTCTCTGACTGAACTGGATCCTGAAGTGCCTCTCTAAATGTACTGGCGCTCAAACTGAAGTGGCTCCTGAACTGACACTCAAATGGTTCTCTAACTGAATTAGCTCCGGAACTGGCTATCTAACAGTAGTGTCTATTTATCTGGCACTCAAACTGAACTGGCTCGTGACCTGACTCTGTAACTGAACTGGATCCTGAACTGGCTCTCTAATTGAACTGGCTCCTGACCTAGCGCTCTAACTCTCTAAAACTGACACTTGAACTGGCTCCTGAACTGGCTCCTGACACTGGTTGAACTGGTTTTTACTGTACTGGCCCCTGAGCTGGCTCTCTAATTGAACTGGCCCCTTAACTGGCTCTCTAACTGCAGTGGCTTCTAAATTGGCTCTCTACCTGAACTAGCTCTCTAACTGAGCTGGTTCCTGAACTGTCTTCTCAATTGGCATTCTGATTTAACTGGATCCTGAACTGGCTCTTTTACTGTACTGGTCCCTGAGATGGCTCTCTAACTGAACTAGATCCTGAACTGGATTCTCAACTGGCACTGGTACTGTAGTGGCTCCTGAACTGGCTCTCTACCTGAACTGGCTCTCTACCTGAACTGGCTCTCTACCTGAACTGGTTCTCTAACTGAACTGTCTCATGAACTGTCTCGCGAAGTGAACTGTCTCATGAACTGGCTCCTGACCTGACTCTCTAACTTAACTCGCCCCTGGACTGGCTCTCTAAACTCTACAATAAATGTCGTGCTCTTTATTTCCTGCTTGTTGAAGAACCTCTGCATGTTCTAGTCTTTAAGAAATATGATTCTTCTAAAAACAGAGCTAGTAGCTGGGTCGGCAAGGGTGAGATATAGCGCAATAGCCTGATATATAATAGTTTGCTTATCTTTCTGTATACTCGCCTGTGAGTGGGAACCTCTCGTAAAAGAAATCCGTCGAAATGGATGCTTTCTGAATTAACAACAATTATAATGGGTGATGATAAAAACAGGGAATTGTGGGTAAAAAGGTGGCTGTATGATTCAATGAGAAATCAGTTGGCGAGGAGTGTTGCAGTTTTTTGTGTATATACATGTAACTAGTGAGTTGGCTCAAATGACTTAACTCACTTTATAGTCTACTAATAGAAGGTTAACCGATCAGAAGACGTAGAACATTCAATCCATCGTGTATAAAGGCGGCCATTTTTGTTCACTCTACCCGAATGTCCAGTCTAGATTGTCAGGCGAAGAGATATCAGTAGGACGAACTACGCTCTGCTATTTTTACCAAAATATCCACTGCTAACCTGAACAACGCTTTCCTACTGTCTTCGAAATATTCACTGCTAACCTCTGGATTCTATACTCGAAGACGACCGTCATGATGAATAACAAGGAGACTTGATCAAGTATTAAGCAACTTGAAGAATGATCGAATCAAAGTGAAAGAGGAAGGACAGAGGAAAGCAAGAAGAGTGTGAGAAAGGGGAAGAAAAAAAATGTTTTTCGCACAAAAACCGCGCCTCCTACAATCTGAAATATGTTTCAGCTTCAAATAAGACACCAAACCTTCAAAAATATAAACCAATCATTATAATAATCTACTGTGAGAGATAAGTAAAGGCAATCATATGCATTATCATACGATGGGAGCATGATCATTTGTTTTTTTATCACGTTAGTGGATAACATGTCTTGTCTTGGGCTCAGATACGTGATGAATTATTTTTATTATCTGGGGTGTTTATCTGTTTTTCTCATCTTACATGTTTTATACCCTGCGACTCTTACTTAATTCATTCAAAGAAAAAATATTTACAAGCTAGAGTAAATTATCACCATTCGGTCGTCTCGTACTGCAATGTCGTTCTGAGAAAGTCTCCGAAAATATAAATAGATAATAACTGAAGAGGTATACTATGAATTCACTTACATGAATTCCAATCTACACTCTATTCCGGATTTAAGGTGAAACAATCTTTGTCCTCATCCATTAAATTGCCTATAGTATTCCGCAGAAAGCTTCCGCACGCATCCTATTCATATCTATCTATCTATCTATCTATCTATCTATCTATCTATCTATTTAAAGATGGATTACTGTTGGATTATCTGGGCCGGCGCCTCCCAAGTCATTCTTTGTCTGTCTTGATACAGTTCAAATGTATCTGCACGAATTCGTTGGTGATGAATTATTTTCTACCCTACAACGCCCTGATCCCATAGATGAGGATACCTCACAAGGCTCTCCCTTATATATCGTCATTTTGATAGCAGAGCCCTTTCTGATGAGACTGCATTCCTTAGTTCCACCAGTTCAGACGTTCACAGCTAAAGACCCATCATGCGTAACACACTGGGACTAATCCTCTTCATTGTTTTCCTGTTCTTTAAATAAGACAGAAGTTCTACTCAAATAGCTGTTTCATAAGAAGTGCTGCTCTTTGGTAGAGGCGAGCGAGTAGATGTTTTCCTGTTTACTGAAATCTTATATTCTTCAAGTCAAGAGTTATGTTTTATCTTCCATACACAACGCCATTATCTGCACATCTTACGCTTATATAACAGCATTATTCAGTAACTCTGTCTAGATTCTCGGGTTTTGGGTAAATATTAGAAAAAATGGTTTTCCATATATCACGAATTTTTCCATTTCAATCTCTGTTTAATTTTCCTGCTCTTAATATATTTATCTAAATATATGTAAGCATCTAGTCATGTCTATATTGCACATATAGAAACCTGTCATAGACTATTGTGAACGACTGTAAATCGGAGGGACAGCCATCGACTTCCGCGCCGCGAGACCGCCTCTATATCCACGGCCTTTTATTCCTGCAAACACGCAACTTGTTTGCCAATTTATTAGCCTTCTTTTCGATTCTCTCCTCTTCTATTAAGTTATCCGCAACCGTCGCCGCCATACTTTTTAGCCTCGCTTCCATCCAAGAAAATCATGCTTGTTGTTGAAAGTTCTGTTGACAGCTAAACGCAGAGACCAGATTTGGCGCGTGTGGAAAATGGATGCTAACGTGCAGACAAAGACTTGAAGCTCGAAGAATGTTTTTTTTTTTTTTGGTTCCCTCTCGTGTAATGAAGTCATTAGATGAGTTGGGCTTTTGCAAAACTCTCCTCATCAAAGCTGCATACTTGACAAAATCAGGTAATTTTGCACATCTCATATATATATATATATATATATATATATATATATATATATATATATATGTGTGTGTGTGTGTGTGTGTGTGTGTTTGTTTGTGTGTATATATTCTTTGTATATATATATTCTTATATATATATATATATATATATATATATATATATATATATATGTGCCAGATGTAAATATACTATACATAAAAACACCTATGTACATGCATATATTTTCCTTTACTCCTCTCTGAGTATTAGCATACGTACAGGGACACAGACACAACACACACACACACACACACACACACACACACACACATATATATATATGTGTGTGTGTGTGTGTGTGTAGTAATTTGTGTGTGTGTGTAGGTTTGTATACGTGTATATATTCTTCTGTATATATATATATATATATATATATATATATATATATATATATATATATGTGCCAGATGTAAATATACTATACATATAAACACCTATGTACATGCATATATTTTCCTTTACTCCTCTCTGATTATTAGCATACATACAGGGACACAGACAAACACACACACACACACACACACACACACACACACACACACACACACATATATATATATATATATATATATATATATATATATATATATATGTGTGTGTGTGTGTAGGTTTGTGTGTGTGTGTAGGTTTGTATACGTGTATATATTCTTCAGTATATATATATATATATATATATGTGTGTGTGTGTGTGTGTGTGTGTGCTAGATGTAAATATACTATACATATAAACACCTATGTACATGCATATATTTTCCTTTACTCCTCTCTGATTATTAGCATACATACAGGGACACAGACACAAAACACACACTCTCACACACACACACACACACACATATATATATATATATATATATATATATATATATATATATTGTGTATTTTGGCAGCAACCCCTATTTTATACATGTTTCGTTAAAGACGACAATTTACCATGAGTTTAAAGACTAGAGGTTAAAGAGTGACAATTTACCATAATTAGGTTTCTTATTTAATTTTTCTTGCGTTCGTACAAGTGTTATCTTGTCTGGACACAGTATGTAAAGACTGTCCAAAAGCCCTGCATATCCGAACGCTTTCGGCTATCCTGTTAGCCATTATCAAGGATGATTTTATTTTTTAACTGCATGTAGGGGCTGTGTATATGTATCTAGAGTTATAGGTGTGTTTTATTTTCCAAACACAGTCAACACATTGTGTCCGTGTTTGCAGTTAATGTTATTGACTTCTTGTTTTTATTATTATGGCTTCCATTACTTTTCCTTTTTTTTTTTACATGTAGATAAGGTTATTATGCTTGGATTTTCGACTAGTATGTCTCGGATGGTGTCTGGTAAGTTTATGTGTGTGTTTTCAATGATTTCTAATGGAGGCGCGGTTGAATAGGTGTAACGTAAGTCGTCTGGAAAGACATGAAGTAGTGTGACCGATGTAACTATTTAAGAGTTTGGTTTGATCAGGGACACAGTTCCTTAAGGAGCTTGTACGATTACAAGAAAAATTCAATGAAAAGCTTAATCGCAATGCCTTTCAGTCGTCGTAAAAAAACACACACACACACACACACACACACACATATATATATATATATATATATATATATATATATATATATATATATATATGTATGTATTAAATATCAAATTTAAAAAGATAGACGCTTGTGTCTAAGTCTTTTTTCCTCTGGGAATTTAACTATATTCTCGACATGGAAAAAAAATCCTTTACTATAAAGGTAATTTACATTAACCAGAAAAAAGGCTTAGACACAAGCGTCTATTTTTTTAAATTTATACTTTTTTTATGTAACTATAACAACAAAAAACATTTAGATTTCATGTTTGCCTTGAAAAAGTCGGAAGACGAAACGCGTCGGCCAAATCCAAGATTTTTTTCCAATTGTCATTTTATACAAAATCTGTCTTGTCCACATAATTGATCTGGGAATTTTATATATATATATATATATATATATATATATATATATATATATATATATATATATATATATATATATATATATTCACTGGTGACCTCACTGCATGAATTGAAGCGTGATACTAAGTGGCATCTCGATTACCTTTTCACTGCCAAAACAGTTAAATAAAACTGTCTCTTCTGCTCCAACACCACCTTCTCCGGCACTTCCCGACAGTGGAACTCTCTTCCTCTTACTTGCTTCCCTTATAACTTTAATCTTCGAAAATTTAAATGTAATATCAATCGACATCATCAGTAGCCTTGATCCCCGTTCTTCTGTTTTCTCTTTTCCTCACCACCCCCCTACCCAGTCTTTTTCCTTACTTACACTCTCTGTAGCCCCTTGCATAGTAGTGGCACCCCACCTTGCTTGGGATGAATTGCTAGAAAAAAAAAAAGAAAACTCCCAGCAATACTCCCCACATAATTTGTTTTAATTTAGTGGCATATCAACCGCTATGGGTTATTGTTGTGGTAGGATCCACCTAATTTGCATAGTGGAGTACTGACCATATAAATATGGTTGGTACCGGGAAGAGAGGGAGGAATCAAGAAATTCAACCAGAGACTCTGCCCGACTGCGACTCAGTCAACACATTCTCCAAGAACGGTCTTACCAGGAATATACAAAAGACTATATGTAAATATTGTGTACACTTTCTTGTTTCAATGCATTTTGTTCTAAGTACATTTTGTGTTGCATTATTATTCCATGCATTAGTCAAGTTTCAACAGTTATTTAAACCCGTAATCGAAATCATTTGAACTCAGTTTTATGGCTTCAACTAGAGATAAAATATAATGTTGATCATTTTTTCTCTATTGCTGGTAAATCTGCTTTAAATATGTATTGCTGGTATTTTTATTATATTATATGTATCGTTGATTTATATATATTTATATATATATATATATATATATATATATATATATATATATATATATATAATAATGTATTGCTGGTACTTTTACTATAAAAATGTATTTTATACTTTCATTGTGTTTGGTGTGTCACTGTATGACCATATCTGGGACCCTAACTGGTGATACTACCCTGGATCAAGGTGGACCTCAGAGCAGCAGCAGTTGAGACGTGGTTTTATATTCCTCAAAACCTCTATTTTTCCCGATCTGAGCTCTTGCTGCCGGATGTAACTTATCGTCACATCCGGAAGTAGTCCACATAATGGTAAGACATTAGCACCATTATGAAGGCACCCTTTGCAGTAATATTTCTGCTATACCTAGTATATGGCCGCAGAATAAATTATTGATTATAAGTTATAATATAGCCGGAATATAAATTATAAAAATGATTCTCCTCTTGTATGACAATCAATTCAATATACAAACAACTGCGGTGGAATTTCTTTAGTTTTTGATACAAAGTTTACTGAGTCAATAACAGGACCAAATCTCATGGAGAAATGAAGCGGACAGTCAGTATAAAGATTATTTCGTTATTTCAGCTAGGTAACCTATAAGTTATCGATTAGGTCTCACGAACGGAGATTAGAAGAGAATCGTGCAGGTCGTTTCTTTGAAAGGAAAGCAAGATCACTCGGGAAATAAAAAAAAAACGTGTAAGAAACAAAACAATAAAAAAAAGAATAAAAATAGTAATACTTACGTACGTATGTATGAAAGAATCGAACCGAGTTAAGTGTTTTTTTTTTTTCTGCTAACAAATTTTCTAAATAGGCGACGTCTTCGCCATTAGCGGCCATGGTAGCAGGGGTATACTTCCGGTAAAGAAGGGACGGCCGAGCCGGAAGTGCGTCACGCACGTCCACGCGGAGGCTCGTGTGAAACACTTCTGTAAGCGTGCACGTTGTGATTGAAAGTTTTCTGCAATCAAAAGTTGGACATGATGCCGGATAACAAAGAAAAGCGCGTTGTGAAAATC